GGAATACCCTCAGTCCTGGGCAAACAGAAATGGTTGGTCACCCTACCTACATGGTAGCCCTGGGTACAGGGGTGGTAGCTCCTTCTAAGGAGCTCAGTTTGTCTGTTCTGCTAGGTTTCTCAATATTTGGGTAGAGTGAGCGTGATGAAAAGACCACGAGGACCAGACAGACTTGGGTTTGAGTCCCACCTTTGCTACCTCAAGGCTTCAAGACCTTAAGTGAGTCCGCAGCTCTTCTGAGCCTCAGCTTTGCCAGCCATAAAATGGAGGAAGGTAGTATCTACCTCAGGACATTGCTAAGAGGCTCCTTTAGGGAGCCCAGGTCTGTAAAGGGACCAGGAAGTGCTAGCTAACCTCCCTGGGTGGTGGTTGATTGCATTCCACAGGACAGGGGGTCCTTTCCGCAGGAGGACCTGTACAAACAATTCCCAGGCATCCATCCGTATGAGCAGGCTGAGACTTCGGTGCCACTTAACAAGTTAAAACACTATGAACAGAAGGGCCAGCAAACTTAATATTTAACCTGAGCTTTGACTGTTCCTTAAGGTGATCAGTTCACTGGGGAATTCTCAGGTCTCCCAGGAGGAGGAGGAATGGAAGCATCTCCCCAGCTCTCTGGGACCATGCACTGGTTCTGTGCAGAAGTGACCAGAACAGGGCAGTTTCCACATTGCAGAGGTGCCGTTCACGGTGGGCTGGTTTGAGCTTAAAGTTGGACGTTTCATGGTGGATGCGTGCTCTTTAGCCAGCAGTAGTGCAAAGGTTCACTTCCACAATCAAAACCTATTACGGCCACGTTCACACCGGCTTCATTGCCCCTCCCCCCACCACTGCCCTTTCCCCTCTTGCTATAGGACTTCCTCAGCATGAAAAATAACAAAGCCTAGAGTCTAAGTATGCTTTGAGTGCCCTCCAAATCTCCAACTCAAAACTGTGTTTGTGGAAAGGGGAGTCAGCCTATGGCTGTCTGTGTGGTGGATCTGCAAGGAGCAGGGATCAGGTTCATGGAGGCCGGCGACTGTGGATGATGCCATACCGGACAGGTGTGATGCTTGTGCTGTCCACAGCCGCTGGGAGGGGACGGTCCCGCCACCTGGGCCAGCACCGTAGCTCAGTGGGCCAGGTGTGGGCACCCGAACCTAGAGTAGCCCAACTCCAGAGTGGGCTGCTTCCTGCCCACTCATAAACACCCCACCCCAACCAGAGCTCCCCACTCCAGGTAAAACCTCATCAGGAAAAGACTCACACCGCAGCAGAGCTCCCCACCAGCCACCCGATCCTTTCTCCTGACCCATGAACTGGGGGAGGTGGAGGATGATGCGTTGTCCATGTGAAGACCTTCCATCAGTCTTCTGGTTTGTATGCCTACTTCTCGCTCCCACCTTTGTTCATACCTGCTGCCCGAGTCCCTGAGCCTCACTGTCGGAAGACTGACTCCTGTTTCCCCCTTAGCCCCTGACCTCATATCACAGGCTGTAAATCTTCTTCCTGTTTCATCTGGAAACCTTCTACGATCAGCTTTCCACCTTCCAGAAATGTGCGGAAATCTCTCATCTGTGATTTTTACAACACCTTCCCTGTCTCTTTTTCTTTTTTCTTTTCTTTTCTTTTAACTTCAATACCTTGATTTCAGTGGGGTGGGGTCTCAAATAAAAAGAGAAGCAAACTGTGCCTGACCTGCCCTTTTGGACCAGAAGCCCATAGATCTCTCTTCAGCAATGTGAACTGGTCAGCTCATGGAAAGCCGGCATCATTTACCCTGCTTTCCACATTTTGTTTAAACGGGGTATAAGTCATCCATGTTTTACTGCCTATGGTCAGAACTTTTTACAACGTTATAGAATGGGCCAAATCCATCATGCCAACACTGAGGACTTAAGATTTCTTATTTCTGAGTAAATACTGCAGAAGAGTTCTATAACTCATTATCCTTAATGAATAGTATCAACTCTTCCTTACATTTCTTCCCACCCCTCTCAGCGGTGAAGCCATGAAACCAAATGGAAAAGCGTGGACACTTTGCAAGGAGACAATAGCAATTATATGAGATTACTGCTGTCCAAATGTGTCAGCAATAATTGATAGCACCATGGCTCTCTCAAGTTACTGATTAAGCATTAAAAATAGAAACATGGCTTGCCTGTGTTTCAAATGCTGTCTCATTTTTCCTCTGATTATAAATACTATCTTTCTGTTTATTCATAATAACCAGAACCTACACAGTATATCTCTCCTACATAATGGCTACTGATGTGTCGGGAATGGTGGACGGTTATAGAGAGGTCCTGAGCAGGGGGAATAGATCTGGGAAGTCCCAGAAGCAGGGCACTTGAGTGGGGCTTTTAGAGGGGGTGGTCCTTGGGCTGTGGTAAGCAGAGCACCTGCCTCACCTCCCGATGCCAGGCTAGTCCTGTTGCCAAGCGAAACATCACTCAGGACACATCTCCTGCTGAAAGTATCAACAACTACAGTTCTCTGCCAAAGTTTAATTTGCTCACCACAAGGAAGTTATTATTTTCCAGGAATGAAGCAGCTGGCTCTTGAGCTGGGTCTCATCTTCCATCTTCCCCACCAGCCACCACCACAGTCACTGCATAAAGAAGTCCTTTAGCTGGAGACGTGTGGCTGCCAAGATGCCTCCATAAGAGGGATTAGACCCCATTTTCAATGTCCCAATATTCCTGGGATTTTGCTAACCCCGTGGGACAGAGAGATTCTTGTTTATTTCTAGAGATGATCTTAGGAGGCATTCGTCATGTGGGAAAACTTAGGTTTTTTGCTTATTATGGGAAACTTCTAATAAAATCAATATGGGTTTTTAGTATGTTTGATGGAAGCCAGGTCTCCAAATGTAGCTGATTTTAAGTGGATTCTCAAGAATGGAAAGAGCACAGGCTTTGGCATTACTGTTGCTGAAGCCAAGTGAGCTAGACAAGTCTGGGGAAACAAGGTTGGGATCTCGAGTGGTCAGAAACACCAACTGCCCTGAGAGGTGGAACACACGGAGCTCTGGATATATTTAAACCATGAGTCACATGGCTAGACTCTACTTGGGCAGAAGTAAAACATGTTTTCCTTCAAATGATTAAACTTAGTTGAACTTAGTTCAAGAAAAATGTCTTTTCCCTCTGAATGTCCCCCCCTCCGCCGCCCCCCGGCCCAGGCTTAAAGAGTTTCAAGATGAGATTTGTTTTCTTAACGAGAAAACATATCAATAGCTTCCAAATTAGACACATCTGTAGACTTGGGACACCCAGATGACTTCAAATAATATATTTGGCCCATCTCCTACATCTGGATGGTTAAGACTGCATGTCAAAGAAAGAAGAAAAAGAAAAGGAAGTTAGAAAGACTTCCTTGGTCTGTTGATAATAAAACTGAATGGAAATGGACTTGCATCCCATGTTTATTCCATTTTCTCCCACATAAAGTTTTTAATCCCTACTCCTGGAGTGATAAAACAGTAACATTTCAAGTCCACGGCTGGAAAAGGTTAGCCAACATTTCATCTGACCAACTGTTCTGCAACTCAGTCAGGATTCTGGTTAATGCCGAGTCCACATGGGTGAGTGAGACTCAGGGTGTTGGCACTGTCTTACTTTGGAAAAGTTGGGTTTTTTAAGTAAGTGGGGAAAAAGAGAGGAACAAGTCTAAGCACAACACAGGCAAGACCAACAATAACATCCCTGGAGTTGAAAGAAACAGCTTTGAGGAGCCTCCTGTCTTTACTTGGGGGTTAGTTCACTTAAAATAATAAACGTATTTCTTTTACTATCCAATGACCAAAAGCTAGAATTATGATTAGTACCTGTTGGTATTTCCTTTGCTTTTTTTCGGGGGGGGGATGCTTTCTCTGTTCCCTTTTTTAAAATAATTTTTCTTTCCTAATAGTGATTACTTTTTATGATGAGGGTTTTGGGTGAGGCGCAGCGTTGGGGCGCGGGGTCTCAGATGTGGCGGGCAGGAGGCGGGGGGGGGGGGGGGGCAGAAAGAGGGCCCGCCCCTTTCTGCTGCGGCGCCCGCCGGAAGGCTGGAGGGGCTGTCCTCGCGGAGGGTCTCCCCTTCCCTCCTGTCACGTTTAGGTCCCCCGGGCGCGGGAGGGAGAGGGGCGGCAATTTGAGGCTGGGGGGGGGGCCACTGAGGTGTGAGACCCCGCACGTTATCTTACTCAGCCCTCAGGGGTTTGTACCCCATCCGAGGAATGGGAGGCTCGGAGAGGCGACGTCGCCCACCGCCCGCCCAGCCCCATGCGACAAGGCTGTGATATCACCTCCCTACTCTCATCACGTCCTCGCGCAGTGTTTTCCATAAATGAGCAAAAAGCCCAGCCGAGTTCGCCCCAAGGTCGATCGGCGCCCGGGGAGGGGGGGTTCAGTTCCAGGCGGCGGGGACCTGGCTGACCCGAGGGTGGCGGAGCCAGAGCCCGGCAGGCGGGCCCGCAAGGGGGTCCCCACCCCAGGCGGGGAGGAGGAGAGGGGGAAGACTGAGGAGGGGACGCTCCGCCCCAGTGCCCCCGACCCCTCACCCCAGTGTCCCGCACCCGGCTCTCACTCCCCGCACCACCTTCCACAGGCTGGGGCCGTGCCCCCTCCTCCCGGCCGCCCCTGGCCCTGGCCCTCGCCCCCGGGTCTGGACCCCTCACCCCCCCGCCCTGGACCGCACCCCAAACCCCGGCCGCGCCCCCTCCCGCGTCCCCGCCCCCGGATCTCGTCCCCCCAACCCATCTCTACCCCTCACCCTTCGGGCCCGAATCCGCACCCCTGCATCTCGTTAGCGCCCCCAACCGCCACCGCCGGCCAAACCCGGGTCTGCACCCCCGTCCCCCTGGCCTCCCCTCCCTCTAGTGCCCTCGGCACCCCCCCCCCCACACACACCCCTGCCCCGGTCCGCACCCCAGCCCCCGGCCGCGCCCCCTCCCGCGTCCCCGCCCCGCCGCGCTCCCGCCCCGGGGCCGCGCTCGGGCGGCGAGACCGGCCTGCTGGGCGGGCGGCGGGGGCGCCATGGGCAGCGGCAGCAGCCGGAGCGGCCGGGCCCTGAGGCGGCTGCGCAGCCCCGACAGCCGGCCGGCGGGGCCCGGCGGGGCAGCCTCGGAGGGCGGGACGCGGCCTCTGGTCTCCGCGACGGCGGCGGCGGCCGCCCGGGAGGAGGCCCGGGAGGCGGAGGCTGCTGAGGGGGCGGCCGACCCCGACCCCGACCGCGACCCCGGCCCCGCGGACGGCGGGGACGAGACCCTGCGCCTGCTGGACCAGCTGCTGGCCGAGTCGGCGGCCTGGGGCCCGGGGGAGCTCGTCCCGCGGGGCCCGGCGCGGCCCAAACCCGCAGCCGGCGCCGGGAGCCGGGTGAGTGTGGGAGTCCGCGGAGCCGTTGGGGCCGCGCCCTGTCCCCCAGCACCCCCCCCCGGAGCCCCCCAGCCCCGTGCTTCCTCCGACCCGCCCCCGCGCTCCCCCCCCAGGCTCCCTGGGCCTGCGCGACGCCTGTCCCCCTCTGCCCCGAGTGTCACCCACCGTCTGTGTGTCTCCGAATGCCTCCGAGGTCTCCTGCTGCTCACGCGGCCTCTCCTTCCCTAACACCCCGTCTGATTTTCTCCCTGTCTGTCCCTTCTGGGTGCTGGTCTCGCTGCCTCGAGTTTGGGGTGACAGTGCTGGGCGCAGCCTGTAAGAGCAGGGGGCACACATCTCTTGGCAGAAGTGCATCTCCCGGGCTGGCTTCTGGCCAGAGCTCGCCTTTCTTTCCTTTTAGAGCTGTGTGTCCACCCTCACAGCACGGCATCCCAGACTCCTTCCCGCCTAGGTGGGAGTTGGCCAGGGGTGCTGGCTATTCTCTCCAGAGGAAGCTGCGCAATGGTGGGACTGGTTGCCAAACAGTGGTTCACAAATGTGTCAGACACATCAAGAGCCTTGCCTTGCTAGTCAAGCAATTCACATGCTACTGGCTATTTTTAAGATGCTGTGGAATCTGTTTTTTGCTTCCCAATCCTCTCTTCCAGAACACTTGTAATAACAGTCCCTCCCGTTGTTCTAGAAAAACAATAAAAACAAGCACTCGGGTTTGGCAACAGTCTTCACTCCAGCAGAGCAGAATGAACAAGAAGACCTTTACTATCAGCTCCTGGGCTTGAGGAGGATGCCAAAGGCAGCACCCCCTTCCCTGGAGCCCCACAGGCTTTGCTTAACTGCCAGGACCCAGGGAAGTGTCTTCTGGGGGCAGCCACCAAGCAGCAAAATCCAGAAACCACTGTGAAGGGTGGGGCGGAGAACTGGCTCAAATCAGACAGTGCAGAGTGTCTCCTCTCCTCCCCCACCATCCTTCTGCCGGACCCGTCCCCTGCTACCCTCCCAAAGTGAGCCGCAGTGAGTAGGACTGAATTTGTTCACAAGATGCCTTCAAGACTACGTCACCATTCAGTTATATAACACGAAAAATGGATAAACAGTTGAGAAATTTGGGGGAAATTCTCAGCATGAAAGCAATCATCTAGTGTCCAAGTTTCAAGTGGCTTGGAAACCCTAGAAGTGAAAACGAGAGGAAAAGAAAACGAATGGATTTCCCCTCGATGTCCTGAATATCAGTGACTCTCAGGGTGCAAGGCTGCCTTACTCACTCTCCCAGTCATTTCTATGAGCCCAGCACCCCTCTGGGTGCTAAAGCAAACACAGATGGCCCACGGTCCTTATCCAAAAGAAATCTACAGTTTAGTGGGGAGAGAGAGACCTGCAGACAAAAAACAGAATAGAGCGTGGTGAGAGACAGACCTGCACAGAGTCCACAAGAGGAGCGACCGATCCCCTGGAAAAGTCAGGGTGGCACTCCAGAAGGACAGCGCTTGACCTGAATCTGGAAGGATCTGTGGCTTTAGCCAGGCAAACAAGCAGGGAAGAGCATTTGTGCAGAGAGAACCCCACGTGCCTGTGGGCAGAGGCGATGGGGTGGGGTCTACAGTGCCCAGGCTGTGGGCAGGGAGGGCCTGGTTGAAGAGGCTGAGGGGTACGTGCCATGCTGTTGCAGGTCCTGCTGGGAGTTTCCCAGGTCAAGAAGTTTGGACTTTACCATAAAAGCTGTGGCTGTCTCTGAAGGGCCAGGGGGAGCCGCATTTTGTATTTTAGGAAGATGACACCGACACAGCTGTGGGAGGATGGACTGGGCCAAGTAAGCCTGGGGTCGGGATGGCCAGCTGGGGGCTGCTTCGGTGGTGTGGGTGAGCAGGTCCTGAGTGAAGCAGGACAGCCAGAGCGCCGAAGGGGAGATGGAGGTGCCTAGGAGGGAGAATCGGTCAGCCGTGGTGGTTCTTCTGGATGTGGATTGTATGTATCCTCTGTGCTATAAATATTTCTTGAGTGAATCCTAGACTCTTAGGATTATTAGATCTGTAAGAAAGCTCCTCGAGTCCAATTATTTTCAGGTATGGGGAGATGAAGTGAAAAGGTCAGGGCTCCTAATTTCTTGACTGTAAAGGTCCCAGAAGGTTAACTGCCTGAACACTCAAATGTGGGGTTTATGCTTTTTTTGCTGTATAGATTACGTCCTTTGATTCTCTTGGCAATTGTACATCTTATAAGATTCTGAGTTGACAAAACATCATTGAGCTAGGAAAAAATTGGTATTTAGATGGATCCATATTGACCCATCTAAATACCAAAGGGCCGACTTCTATGTATGGGTTGAAGTCGGCCCTTCTTCCAAATGTTAGAAATGATGTTCCCAAGGACAGAGCAAATGTTTGATTGAGCAAGTAAATAACACAATTTAAATTTCTTTAGGAGGGAAGGACGAAAACCTTCCTTAGGTTCTAAACTGTCTAGCAGTTTGGTGGAGAGAGGTATTCTTCGTCAGACAATACCAAACTCAAGTGAAATTATCCCTTTAAGCACCCATGTTTAAAAATTTTAACTACTGGGCGCCTGGGTGGCTCAGTTGGTTAAGCGACTGCCTTCGGCTCAGGTCATGATCCTGGAGTCCCGGGATCGAGTCCCGCATCGGGCTCCCTGCTCGGCGGGGAGAGTCTGCTTCTCCCTCTGACCCTCTTCCCTCTCGTGCTCTCTATCTCTCATTCTCTCCCTCTCAAATAAATAAATAAAATCTTTAAAAAAAATAAAAATAAAAATTTTAACTACTGCTGATTAGAATATCTTAGAGACTGGTTATGCGTATCTCTGAACCATCACCCTGAATGTTATGGATTATACTCGACTATATTCAAGAATAGTTATAGCTAATATTTTAATGTGCACTTGGGTCTCAAACAAGCCTTAACTCTTTTCATCTTTAACAGTATCGTCCATTTTTACGGGTGGGAAAGAGAAAACAGGCACAGAGAGGTTAAGCACCTTAACTAAAGCCACACAGTTATGGCAGAGCAGAGATCAGACTCTCGACAGTCAGGCTCCTGTACCCTTATTATCAAAATGGCCCTAACAGCTGTGATGCTTGTTATTGCCTCTCTGCCTTGGTCCGTCTTTCCACTGTCACGTTTTAGCCATTGTCAGTCTGTATGCAACCAAACAAGCTTCTCTGTATCCCCCGCCCTAGTGGACACCTCTCTGAGCTGCACTTGGGGGTTGGAATCACATAGCCATGCCTGCTGATTCTGTGTTTCAAGGAAGAGCATGACCCTCCGAGGTCAGGCCTGGGAGAGGTTCTTCCCTGGCCTGAAGAATCATCTCTTCAGCCAGTGGGCTTTGTGGCAAATATTTCAATCAAATGTGCGTCTTTGTCTTGTTTCTTAATTCCTGGTTGTTTTCCTATACAGTTAAGGTTGCTGGATAAGAATGAAGTATTGCCATATTCTAAAACTGGGATTTTTAAAATTAAGTTTTAAGAAGTATTTACTTTTATTTATTTTTTATTTATTTACTTATTTATTTTAGAGAGGGAGAAAGATTGGGGGTGGTAAGGGGCAGAGAGAGAGAGGCCTAAGCGGGCTCCAGAGCCTGATGCGGGGCTCGATCTCACAACCCTGAGATCATGACCTGCAATCAAGGGTTGGACACTTAATCAACTGAGCCACCCAGGTGCCCCTTTTAAGGGGTATTTAAATCAATTACATCTCTCTCACCCCCCCCTCTATAGGTACATATGAGAAATGTGTATCTACATATAGGGGCTACTTCAGTGGTCCTAGTGGCATTATGTTGATATCACTGAAATTATAATAATCTGCTTTGGATTTTTATACTTCAACTATTTCATAAACAGCTTTTTATATTGCTGCATAGTATTCTTAATTATTTTAATAAATGCAAAATATCCATCAAATTCATGTACCATGAATTAAACCATCTCCTATTACTGTCCTGGATTAATTTCTAACTTTGTGCCTTGCATTATTAGGTGTGCAGAGCAGAATTTTTTTTCCCAAAGCCAGTGGAACTTTAAAATCAACAGTATCTCAGTGGGATATTGAAACTGAAAACTATTTAGGATGGAAAAATTATGTGAGAAAAGCTAATCATTTGGGCTTGGGTTTTATTAAGTTATTTGATCAAATTATAGTTTTTTAACAATGCAGCAGTATCTCTGCCACTCAGCGCTGTATTACCTGGGAAAATTACCGTCTGTTATTGATCCATGCATTTAGTGTATAGTTTAGAGCACCTGCATGTGCCAGGTACTGTTGTAGGTGCTCCGTATACATCGGTGAACCAAACGGACAAAACCTCTGCTACCACTCTGATCGTCTTAAGTTCAACAGTGAACAAAATAAAGCATAAAGAACAATAAAGCAGGGGCGCCTGGGTGGCTTAGTCGATTAAGTGTCTGACTCTTGATTTCGGCTCAGGTCAGGATCTCAGGGTCATAGGATCGAGCCCCACGTCGGGCTCCACGCTCAGTGTGGAGTCGGCTTGGGATTCTCTCTGCCGCACTCCCTCTGCCCCTCCCCCCAGTCTCTCTCTCTCAAATAAAAAAAATATATATATTTAAAAAAAAGAACAACAGAGCAGCAGGGTCTGGGGAGAACAGGAGTGGATCCAGGTTGTCATTTTTACTAGGTGGGCAGGGAAGGTGTCACTGAGGAGGCAGGACTTGGGCAAAGCCTTGGAGGAGGTGAGGGCTGCCGCGCTTCTGTGGGAACCGGTGTCCCAAGCCAAGGGGTCAGCCAGTCACAGGTCCTCGGGTGGAGCCTGGAGGGTCTACTCAAAGAGCAGCAGGTTGGGCGTTGTGGCTGGAGTGGAGAGGGCAAGGTCAGGGTAGTGGAGACAGGATGGTGGCCAGGATGGTGGCCTGGTGTCTGGGCAAGGCATGATGGTCCTTTGGCCACTGTTAGGCCTTTGGCCTTTACTTTGAAGGAGGTGGGAAGCCCTGGAGGGTTTTCAACAGAGATGACCTGATTTAAGGCTCACCC